TCCCTGTCTTGTCTGCACTGCCTCCTTCTCCCTGTTCACCTTCAGAGTGACCTTAACCTTAAAAAGAGGCTATCTATATTAAACAGTTTAGCACCTGAGAGATTCTGCCAACATAGTGACTGATCAACCTCCTGCTCAGCCTCTCTGTCCTAGGGTTAAGAATCTGAGAACTATTGCCATAAAAATAAGTTGGGGATAAAAAGACTTATGGGGGGGGGGTGACTCACAACCCATGCAAACCAGATGCTACCCCATGAGCTAGCCTACAGCATAAGAAAGCAGAAGCCACATCTCTTCCACTAGATAGATGAGTGAAAATGAGAAGGAAACACTACCAAAAAGCATAAATGGGGAAAAATGGGGCAAGCTTTCAAAATTTAATGTGCTTTTGTATAACCTATGGGGTTATTAGCAAAAGCAATTCACACACACATATATATATATACACACACACACACACACATTTTACACACATATATACATATACATTCACATGCACACAACACACACACGTAAAGCTGAATTGTCTTTGCTAATAACCCCATACATTATATGAAAGTAAATTAATTTCATGTAAATTATTCATTAAATTTAATAATAAATAAATTGTGGAATTATTTATTAAAAGTACAATAATTATTATTATTTATATTAATATATATTAATCAAGATTCAGCAGTGCACTTTAAAGCAACAGATAATGCCAGTGAATCCAGGCTACCAATTGGCTTCAAAACTTTCTTTCTGTGTGTTCCTTTCCAGAGTCCTTCCTCAACCTGATATTAAAATATGAGTTGTGTGCTTTGATTTATAGAACAAAAAAAGTTTATTAAGTGGTCCGCTGAGACCCTCAGCAATTTTCAAGTGGTCCATGAAAAAAAAAGGTTTGAGAACCACTGCTTGAGTGTTTGGGATGCAGGGTGCTGCCAGAACCAGAAGTTCCTCCCCAAAAAAACTCCAAGGCAAATTGTGACTTGTTGCTGTTAGCATCTTATGTGGGAGGATTTTCTGACAGTCTCTGAAAAGGTGGAAGGGAATCTGTATCCACTGTTAAATTAGAAGACCCTCTCCACAAAGGATCAATTTCATGGTAGCAGGTGCTCTGCATGTAGGTTATATCTGTGTTGTACAGTTACTATGGGACCCATGTCTGAGGACCAGGGCAAGCTTAGCCCAAATATGAACTTCCCCACTGCAAAGTTGTGTCTGTGTTACTGCATTCTCACTGTCACTGTGCTGGCTCATACATGTCTGGAGTCATATCCCACGGTTCTTTGTGCTGAGCACTCCAGAATATTTTCCCAGGCAGTTGTATCAACTGCAGAAGAACTCATCTGTCCTTCAGAGGGAATTGTGGGAAGGTCATTAAAGGACTGTCAGTACTCGAGTGATCTAGCCTGTACCCTCACTGCAAACTAACAGGCTCCAGGAGAGGTAAAATTGATCCCACTTTCTAGAACACATTCCTCAAAGCTAGGGGCACCAGTTCTTCTACACAGATGGCAGGAAAATTAAAGGAAAAACACAATCAGATCCCAGGTTAACTCTGTGATGGAGCCATATTCTTAGCAGAATTAAGCACAAAATTTTGGCTGTGGAGCAGGGAGAAACTGTATCATGTATATGTATAGAAACAAAAACCTACATAAATATATATAGTGTATAGAGTGTGTGTGTACACACACACACACACACACACACACACACACACAGTTCTTTTAAAAATAAAAATGCAGCCAAAAAGGCTGGTGGTTTCCTTTATTTATACCAGAAAGTCTTTTCTCGTGGAGCAAACAAAGAGTATTTGTCTGACTTGTCTACAACGTCCTGTGCCACAAAACCATGCAGAAGACTATCTGAGAGCTAGAGAGCCTGGGGCTAGAATTACAGAGACCCCAAACTGGTTCAGGTCCTTCCAATATAAACCCGGCTGAAATGGCTGTACAGATGTGGGCAAAATAAGCACACAAAAAAAATCTCTCACTCCAAGAGCTCTAAGACCTTACTAACCCCTCAGTGAACGAAGCTGCATGACCTCCCTTGTAGAGTTGCGCCATGTTATCACCCTGTTATTACAGAAGATAAACTGAGGCACCATAAGAGCAAGAGGAAAAGGAAGGTGATTTACTCAAGATCACATGGCAAGCCAGGAAGGTAACCCGGGGGTCTTTACGTCTAGTGCTTTAGTCTAATTACAGCCATGTTTGCATCACAGAACCAGCAAAAGAACCTAAGAGTCTTGATTCCCAACCCTCACTGCTCTAACTATTAGACCAAAACCATTCAGGATGAACAGAAGCACAAAAGGGCACAGACTAGGGGACTAGCTACTACTTGTTTCTCTCTCTCACAGACGGACTGGGTACTGAAATAAGTCTATTAGCCAGCTCAATCTGAAGTCCATGTTTGCTGTTGACTGCAACTGGAGCAAGGATCAAGCTCCAGGATGTGGCAGTCCACCAGTAAAGGAGAAATGGATGACTATGTAAAATGGACACCTTGTACTAACACCTCTGGCAACAGCTTGCCATGCCAATAAAGTTATTGAAATTGAAATTGAATGTGGCAAAGTCTTCAGTCCCCAGCTGCACTGCTAGAGCCCCCTGCTGCCCTTCAGAGGAAACAACACCAAAGGTCACAACCTGTCATCCCTTGCCAACCAAATGACGCAAAAGACAAGCTGCAGCTGTGGGTGGTCCCAGCATAACAGTGGGTTTCTCCACCAAGCAAGCAGAAAAAGCATGGAAAGCCTGGAGAGTCTGAAAGGTGCCTGAAGAGCACATTAGCCTAAAGCTCCAAAGTCCATACTGCTGTAATCCCAATTCGAAAACAAGGACTGTAGAAAAAAAGATGATACATTAAAATATACAGCCACCCAAAAGTCAGATGTAGACTACCAAGAGTTGAGTTCTGACAGCCTGTTACCTATGACCTACAGACAAGACTTATTCAACCTTGCAGCTGAACTCCTGGCCCACTAGATATTACACTGGTCTTTGGGCAGCTGGAGTGATATGAAATAGCAATGGCTAGGGAAGCACTAGTATCCCATTTTCTTTCAGCCAGCATTTCTATAAGTACTACACTCCCAGCAGCGAGCTGAACAGAAGCAACTGGACTGTGCTACTAACCTCACCAGGCCAGCTAGCTCACAGACAGCAAAAGGGAGCCTTTTTTGTATTTACCACTGAGAAGTGCTTAGCAGTACAGCCCTCTCACAAGGTATCTGTGGAGAGTGTGAATCTGTAAAATAAGCCCAGGCTATTCCTCTGCTGCTGCTTCTCTCTCTCACACTCTTTTTGGTTTTTTTGGGATGTGCTAACTTATGGTCTCAGAAGGATTCAGGTGCTGATTGGTCCATTGTCTGATGATCGGATGTTATCACTGAGCAGGGCACAATGAGTGCAAAGGGGAAAGAGAAGAATAAGAGACAGGCAGCAGAGATGACAAATTCCCTCCTGCAACCTTGTGGCAAATCCCTAGGAAATTATTCACAGCTACTCAGCTTTTCATGTGGCTATTTTTTTATTATTATTCTTATTCTCAGAGTTCTGGGAAATGTGAAATGGGTTCATGAGCATCTCTGCAATTTATTCCATTGCACTGGCACAGCCAGCCTGTCTCCAGAAAAGTAACTGCTGATGGGAAGAGAAGCAGCCCAGCCCACCCAGCTCAGAAAAAGGCTTTCCGAATGAAAGAGCCGCCCTGCTAGGCATGCAGCCACAAAAGGGTTAAGGCGGATTTCTCACGTTTCCTCTCATTCCCCCTTCTGCATCTGCCCTCTCTCCCCCCCTCCGCCCTCCTCCCAAATTATGCCTGCTTTCCAGAAGGTGGCAGTATTGGTCCTCAAGAGCTCCTGGGCAGTTTGGCTCAATGTCTCCCCCCTCTCCCCTCCTAGCACCCCATTTCCATTTCCCCACCTCCCAGAGCTCCCCCTAATTTAACTTGTAAACCCTGTAGCTGTTGAAAGGAGAGATGCAAACCACTCACCTTCATTGGGTTTCCTCTCCCCATCCCCCAGGGTCGGAGCTGCCTGCGACAACTGCAAAGATAACAGAAAATTAGTCAAAACACAAAGTCATTACCCAGTCCCCAGGGGCAGTTAGGGAGCTGAACAGCTTTCTGGGATTCTGCAGGCAGGCTCCAGAGTGCTGAGGCAACAAAGCCGCTGGAAGCCCCCAATGTTTCGAAGCATGACTGCAGCATCCGGATGTATTCATTCACACCGCGGCTGTACCCAGCCCCCGGTTCCCCAGGCCTGAGAAATAAAACCCCCACAAAGGAGCGTGTCAGACGTCCCTGCTGGAACTGTATCGAGGGGAATCACTAGGCAGGGGGGATGGCAGGGAGGAGGGGTGTTATTCAGAAAGGTTTTTGCTCCCTTTGAGGTGAAGTCTGTGTCCCCCCTCGTGACAGCATGACAGGCACAGAGAGACCTTTGTCTCCTCTTGCCCTCAGAGCAGAAGAAAATGAAATAAAAATAACACCCCAGCCAGAGCTGAAAGGGGTGGAGAAGGGCAGGGGCCATGGAATCAAGGCAAAAATAATTCCCCTTGGAATATGTGTGTGCGTGACAGAGGGGGGGGCATTTGGAGGAGGAGCAAGGCTCTCACTCAGTGCACACCATTGCTATAAAAAAGAAACTAACTGTTCAAAGGCATTTCAAATTATTAAGGTCAAAAAACAGAGAGCGAATCTGGGCTGGGGGCGGAGGAGAAAAACAACATTGGTGACCTTCTAACGCTGACATGACAAATACGCCGGGAGATTTGTCCACGTTCATGTTCCAAGGAAAGTTAGTGGAAGGTATTTCAAAAAGGGGCCTATGTTACAAAGCACACCCGCAAGTGCAGAGAGATTGGGCACTGCTTTTAAAGGGACCGCCACACACTTTTTTCTCTCTCTTCTCTTCTCTTAATTTGCTCTCTGTTATAAAAGTAAATGATTCAGATTAACATATTGTGGCATAGGGAAAGGAGGGGGAGAAAAGGATCGGGGTTTGAAAGGACATCTGTGCTTTTTTCAGTGGTGTGCCTGTCTGCTGCTGAGATGCAAAGGTGTCAATATTTGGCCTGATGTCAGACTGATTAACTGTTACATCACTCCCTCCCATACTAATTCCACCAGACTACTTCTGCTTCCCGGCCCTGGAAGGAAGGACACTGTGTAGCATAACGTGATGGGGCCACAGTTCTTGGCCTTTGATTTGCTGCTGTGAAGCAAGGCCTCTCTGCTACATTTCCCTAGCAAAATACACACACAAAAAATCACTCCTGCTGTTTTGTTGTGACAAGAGACACTTCTGTGTGGCTGCAAGAGGCATGAATGGAAATAACTAACCCGGCCCAAAACCAGGGGGAGGAATGGAGTTCAAGTGCTACAGTGTTTTATTAACAACTGTTTTCACTTTCAGGTGAGACCTTAAAAACTCCACTCCTCTTTGCTCTATGGGAGCATTATAGCTCTAATGCAACTTTCAGAAGTATCAGGCTTCACCCTGGTGTCCTGGACCAGAAATGTCCTCCTTCCATCATCTGTGCTTTGTATCGCTACCTGTGCAATGCCCTCCACCCCAGAAGTGGCCATAAGTCAGTTGTATTAAGTTGCTTTGCATATAAAAGCAAAATACTATGTGTCGCTAATTAATGTATTTAGCTGTGTAAAGAAACAAATGTCCGAGTTCTCATTAGACAGATCACCAACCCAGCCAGGCTGTCATGGCTCAGCGCCAGGCTGGCTGCAAAGACCTCCTGCTTATATGCTTCTGTACAGACCCACACCACACACATCACTCAGCCAAGCAGCTTGAAGCTTCAGCTTTCACAGGAGAGCAGAGATGGAACTGACAAAGTTCAAGAAGCCCCTCTCCCAGCTGTGCCTGTGAAGCTGAACACAATTACCTCTCTCTAAAGTCCCCCCCAACATCTCTCTGACCTGCAGAACCCCTAAAGTCATTAAGTGCCAGACTCTGGGGATAAGGTGAAAATCCAGCCTTGAGGCACCCAGTTACAGGGTCTTTTCTTCCCTGGGGCAGGGGGACTGTCTGCCCTACCTCCATGTGTTAAGGTTGTGCTATCAGTTTAAAAGCAAGCTCCCAGGAACAGTTTCATTCCTAAAGTGTGAAGGTCACTGCAACAGCACAAACAAAATGGAGGTGGCAGTGGCCCTCTGAAACCATGCTGGGTCGCAAGACCATGGGCCAAAAGGAAGCCACAGCAAGAGTAGAAAAGCATCAGTTATCTCAGAGTATGAAGGAAGGAAATCACTAGCTAGATCAGTCCGCTCAGTCGACAAGGCCCAAAAGTCCTATTAAAGGAGGTTATGTCCTGCTAGGAACAGGTATGAACACTACCCTGTACTGAAACTTTTAGATCTCAGCTTTGTCTATGACTCCCTGAAGCAGGCAGCCCTCCTGTTGCCTGCCCTCTTCCCCTTCCCCCACCTCTCCTGCAGGTGTCAGAAAACAGGTGTATGCAGCTTTTTCTTCACTCTCCACCTATAATACGGCCTCAACCTCCTCCTTCAGTGGAACCTACACAACCAGCACCTGGACACGCAACTCAGATCCAAGCTAGGAGCAACTTAAATCAAACCCATCGCTGTGATTTAATTTTTTTAAAGTGGCAGAAACTACCAGTCAGCAACATCTGTGCACATGCTGAATGAAGTGGGACAAACTGGGTCAAAATAAATCCTCCAAGCAGCTCCTGACTACCCACTGGCACTCAAAGGAAGGTGGTTCAACAATTGGCGTGCCCTTCACCCCATGCCCTTGGAACTATAGAAGAACTTCTTAGAATTATTAATAACAATATTATTAACAATTCCACATCACCCTACGGGCCTTGCTGTACTCAGAGTTCTCTTGTCTTCTCTGACTGGTGTATGCTGCCTTTTGCCTGTCCTCGTGCCCAATTCTCTTGGGGCAGAACTGCCTGGCAAGGAGGGAGTTTGCTTCATACGGGACCACAATATTAGGTACCCTAGCAGGGCCAACTGGAAATGGAAAACTTATCAGGGACAAAAAGGCCTCACGCCCTTCGGTGGGAGCCTGAAGGTCATGCTGCTTGGGCGCTCTCTCCTCTGCTAGCTTTTGGAATTACTCATTGCTTCCGTAATATGATTTCTTTCCAATGGATTTTACATTCTCTTGGGCCAGGGAAGAGATCCCAGCACTTAAGAGGGGCATAAGCAGCCTGGAATTAGGGTCTGGTGAAGGGAAAGCTTTCTCTAAGCCATTTGCAGGTTGCTAAGAGTGTGTGGTCTGAAATCAGACAAACACTCCCCAACAGAGAGTTGGACCCTGTCTCGTCCTGGCCGTGTCTGCACCTTCCCTGCCCCCCTCCTGATCCTGTGCAGCAAGCTATTCTCTGGAGGAAGAGAAAAGGTTAATCTACGTGTTTCCCCCAAGCACCACCACCACCACTACTCTTTCTCTTCCTTCCCCTCCCCCTAATCTGTGCAGCCTCATTAAAAGAGCTTTGTAACTGTTTAGGGCTGGAACAAACAATCCAGCCACTCTAGGAGAGACTCTGGGAGAGGAGTTAAGGCACTTTCTGTCTAAGGAGCTAGAAATTCTTCCCTCAGAGGTTTCTACTTAAGGCGGGGGAGGCTTAGCTGCAGTCCTTCCCCACTGTAGAAGCAGGGGGAAGTCAGTAATCTTGCAAACAGCAAGCACAGTGGAGGAACCTCTGACACAGCAGAATGGGCAGGAGTTTTTTGGTTTGTTCAGGAATCAGAGTAATCCTCCGAGATGTCAGGATGGATTCCCTCTCTTTGCCTCCCAAGCACCATTCTTTTGACACCATTCTCCCAGCAGAACTGAGAAGCAGCTTTGGAGAAGGTGCCCCGCTGCCACCTATCTCCTCAGTGTGCGGGGCCGGGGCAGGGGGGGAAGTAAGCTCCCTTGGTTTTCCCAGCGTGGCCTGACGCAACACACACCAAAAGCAGCGGCCCAGTGGATGTGAGATCATTAACAGTCTAGTCGCAGCTTCCCTTTTTCTCTCTGTCTTATGATTGCTGATCCTGACAGCAGTACAGCTGGAGGACCCAGGTCTCTTCACATTCCCGGGCATGAAAGAAAAGAACTGCTGGGGTAACCCCTCCTAGGCTACAGTTTAGAGTCAGACCCATCAAACAAAGAAAGAGTGGGAGGGACCTGAACAGTCCCACTTTCTAGGAAACAGGGGACTGGAGAGGAAGGGGGAATGTCATCTTACCTTCTCCCCAAGTCCCCTGGCCTCACCTGATCCGGAGGGGAGGAAGACAAAGTGCCAGTTTCAGGGTGGCCAAGAGCTGAGAGCAGGCGGCATTCCCGCTGCATCTCCCCCTCCTCTTCCTCACTTAAAAAGGCTCTTTCCCCACAAGTGAAGCCGAACACCTGTGGCATCAGTGCTTTCTGCCCTGGGCCAGTGACATAATCTGCTACAGTCCTAGCCTCATGCAGGGTGATCATAATGCTACTAATTGACTCAATAAGGGGTCATTAGCACACTGTATTCACTAAAGCAGCATTGTGATAAGTGCACCCCTGACAATGCCTTACCTGGCCCTTGATTTTCCTGCCAGCCCGTCAGGGCTTTATTTAATTCTCCCCAACATGGCCAGATAGATACGTTTATTCAACACTACTGCCTGATTAGGAGTGGAGATAAAGATTATCATCAAAGCGCACAACACTGGTCCCGACACAGAGAGTCACGCTTTATGCCATGTTCACAGTCACCGCCATGCTGCCTACGTGAGGTCTGCTTAGCATTGGTATTTCTCATGTTCCCATCACCGTGGTATCTAGGCGACCAATGTACAAATAAGGACAGAACTAGAAACTGTCTTGGGACCTCACCGTCTGCCTGTCTGAACACTTATGTGGCCCACATCATTGTACAATGTGAGCATCTTGCAATCTTTAATACAGTTCACAACACACCCCTTCACTGCTGCCCTATGGTTCCCCGCTCTCCCCCCTTTTTCTCTTCCTTTCACTCTCTGGCTAAGGAAGAAAGGCAGAAGGATTTTGCTCTGTTTCTGAAAACAATCCGACTTGGATTCTTGCTGGCAGTTTCAAAGTTGCTTTCCCCCCCACACTTTAAAATAAGAGCAGATGGGTGCTATTACCCTAACCTAGTCCTCGTCACTCTCCAATGGAGCGCTGCGCCCTACCAAGTGCAGTCGAAGACGCTGCTGTCACTAAAGAAAGTGGCAATATCACCGGCTAGCAACAAAGCGGGTGCTGCCTGCCAGACTTCGGTTCCACGTGAAATGGCTCCTCATTGAGTTTACCTCCCAGCCTCCGTGCTGAGCAAACAATGTGCACACCAGGACAGTTTGCAGGCGGCATTTCTTTTCATGCTGCTGGTGGGGAGACTGTGGGGGCCCAGAGGGATGTCCCAGGCAGCTGGCAGGAGAAAACGACCCTATCCGTGCTCTTACATGTACAATACCAGCCCAGCCAGCAAACAGAAGCCACCTTCACGTGAACTTTTGCTCTCAAGCCCTCTTGGCAAAATGCCCCACTTCATGCAATGTTAGAGAAGCCGGGCTGGAGGGGACCTCCAGAAGTCGGCTAGCGCAGCCTGCTGCCTGTGGCAGGGGCGCCCCTATCCCAACCATCCTGTACGAACCATAATCTAACCTCTAACTAGTAGTAGAGTCCTAGTAGAGCCTGCATAGGACTCTACTAAGCCTTGCATGAACCACGACACCCGACTAGCCGCGAGTCTCGGAACCACAATCTAAACTCCACCTCAGACTGGCATAAGCCTGCCATGACCCATAATCTAACCGCCTCAGACTAGACGCGAGTCTTACTCACACCTCAATCTAAACTCCACCTCAGGCTCCACTTGAGCCCCTTCAAAGGAGCCAGGCATCTAGCTTGTCATGTGGACCTCATGGTGGGGAGCAAACGAGACCTGATTCACGGCTGAACCTGGGGGGAACCAGCCAGATCAGAGAGCGCCAGGGGGAAGGGCTGGGCCGGGAGAGCGGGCAGTGTTGTAATCACCGAGGGGCAGCGGGCCAAGGTGGGGCGGCTCTGGGGATGTCGCAAATAGAGCGGGGAAGAAACTCCCAATAATCCATGCTGTCCCCTTTGATCTCCATGTGGTTTCTGCCAGCCAGGGGCTTCTGCATTGCCGCTTTGGGGGGTGGGGGGGGCAAGCCACATCCCCCTCCCCTACACACAGCCCACAACACACGCGCGTGCAACCTCATCTGCCTATGTCCTTACACCAACACGGCTACAACCAACACCTCTTAAGACACCCTCACACCCCACATCCACACGGAGCACAGTGCCACCCCGCACGCACACAGAGCACACACCACTCACACCCCCACATGCACGGAGCACACTCTCACACACCCCACCTCCACACTCGCACCCCACGCACACAGAGCACACGCAGAGCCACTCAATTTACATTGACACAACCGAGACACACACACACACCCCCGCCCGGAGCTGATGCAAGCCACCTCCCCCGGCCATGCCCTGCATGCCCCGTCCCAGGCTGGCGCGGCGCGGGACTGGCCGGGGAAGGCCTCCTCGCGCGCCCGGCCCCGGCCCCGGCCCCGGCCCG